TCTGAGCCCGTTCTGTAGCAGCCGGAGTCTTTCTTTTGCTTGTATTTTCTATCTATTTCACTTCAAACAGTAGACTAGTATTCTTTTGTATATTCTACTAGTTTCTCATACACTTGTGACACCAGGTCTTGGCACACACTCACTAGTAGACTTATGGTTTGGGTTTATTTCTATGGTTATGATTGCACTCAGCTGATTTCGATTTATTTATTTTAAATATGTTATTTCTTAAATGATTCAAATTAAGGAAAGCTTAATTCCTTGTAAATCTATTAAAAAAGGGAAAGCACGAGGTTAGTTCACTGTTAGCTTGCCTAGCAACGGCACTGGGCGCCATCACGGCCTATAATAGAATTGGGTCGTGACACTAGCCTCGAGGTCAGTGTACCAGTAAAAAGCATTTTCCTTTAAGGAATGAACAAACTACTTGACAAGGTAATCTCCATAGGTTCCTGGATTATTACAAGTTTCGACGTAATGTGCAATGTGTTGCTTTGGATTACGTTTACCATCAAATTGTTGAAATTTTGGGGGTTGATTACCTGCATGCATCTTCAAACTATCAATTCTCGCAGTGTATGGCTTCGCATATGCGAGTGAAGACTTAGCAGAAACATCGTACTTATCTTTGATGGTTCCCAAGATGAAGTCTTTCAATTAGTCAATGGGAATAAGCTTTTCAGATGAAATCTGAAGTTCTTTAGGAGTCGTTATCTGCCTTGCAGATGCGTCTCCTTTATCTTGCATCATAGGGAGCTTTCCAGGGGCATGACTTGAATCCCCCTCCATCATACTTTCAACTCTATCTATCAGCTTGATAATTTGATTATCTTGATCTGGCATATGCTTCGTTAACCCTTCAGTTGCCTTTGTTAAATTTGCGAGTTGTTCTTCAACAGTTGAAGTGTTAGTCACCATTGCTTGGACAACCATTGTGGATGGTGGAGCAAAGCATGGATTTCCTCTTATACCATACTTTGAGTGGAACAACTCACGTGGAGTGATTGGAGCCAGATCTAGTGATCAAGACATCATCATCATCTTGTGTGATGAGATTCTTAGATCTAGACGGGCTAAGTAGAGTCAATGTCTTTTCAACAATTTCAGCAATGATCGCTCCTTCTTCCAATTCAGTTGGAAATGATCTTTCCCCCTTTGAGGATCGAAAATCAAAGATAGGAACTGTTGCAGACGGCATTTGAATACTTGTTGTTCCAGCAAGTTTGCTTTGTTCCTAGTGACTGATCCTACGCTTTTCATAGTAGCTTCCAGCAAGTTTTCAACATCAGAGGAAAACTTGGAATCTGTAGTCTTAGCAGTAGTGAGTTTGAAGTTGATCTTCTTAGGAGCCATTTCAGGCGTGCCAGAAATTTGTCGCACTGAGCGTGCCAGAAACTTGGAATCTGTCCCACAGGGCGTGCTAGAAATTTGTAACAACAAATTTTTGCGTCGAGAAAAATAACTAATCAAGACTAGAAAATTGTGCAACAAATGTAGTATTTGATTTCAATAAATGAAAGTATTACAATCTCTATGGTATTCCTATGATTCTTCAAGAATATAAACTATCTTGATGAGCTTGACTTTGATTTTATTCAAGAGCTTGTAAAGCTTGGTCTTGAATATTCTTCTTGAACTTGAATATGGATTTGATCACGAACAAGTAATTTGATCTTGAACGCCTTAGTATTTGATTTGCTTCGTTCTTGATCTTGAACTTGAACTTGAACTTGTAGCTTGAGTGCCTGAGTGATTGAACTTGTAGCTTGTAGAGAAATCTGCGGTGTTTGATCCACGAGCTCTCTTCTTGCTTCTTGTTATCACTTCTGGTGTCTTCTAGCTTTATGAAGACCTCTCTTTATAGTTGTAGGGAGTGGTGTGGCTCTGCGATTTGATCAGTCCGTTTGAACTGATCAATAACATCTAGACACTTGGCACAACTCTATTGGTTGTTGATTTGACTTGGATTGCCACCCTTCTTGACACGTAGCACGATTTCATTGGCTCATTTATTTGGTTAGGATTGCCACATCATTTGACACGTGGCATGATTTTATTGGCTCGTTCTTTTGACTTGGATTGCCACATCACTTGACACGTGGCATGAGCATGGACTTTAAGATGGGCTAATAGCTATTTGGACCTTGGGCTAATGGAGTGGGCCTATCATTTAATTTGTAGTCCAATGAAATGGACTAGCCCAACATATATATATATTGGATTTAACGAATTAGCCTAATTTACTAGCAACAATATTTGTTTGGACTAATATTTTGAATTTTATATAATCCAAATTATTTTATGGATTTAAGCCGATAAAATTTAAATGCTGACATACAGCATTTTGAGTATCGAATTTCCGTTAAATATTTACCCAATGTGGGAAAATTACTATTATCAAAATAGTATCCTTGAAATACATTGCCTACCTTTCTTTCATAGTTCATTAAAATTCTCTTGTACAATCTTACTATTTTAGATTATATTTTTAATATTTGTACTATTCAGCGATAAGGTTTATGCAATTAGTGGTAGAAACATGGATGTTGTTTAATAGTTACATACTAATAATATTATTTATCGGTCACTATTATTTTGGTTCAAAAGAGGCAGTATAGCTCAAGGAAGAAACGTTTTATTTATATTTATTTTCTTGAGATAAGTTACTTTTATTGACTTGATAAATAATTTTAAAGGTTTCTTGAAGAATTTAAAAGTATTTGTTCAATTTTTATGGAAAAATATTTTATTATAAGCCTCTGAAAGATCTCTACAATTCTCCTCACAAATCTCATCGGATAAAATAAGCTATCAATATCCTATTTATAATAGTATGAAACCTATTTTAACTATAAATAGACAACATATTCCTATATTAATTCTGACTACAAATCCTATTTAGACATGAATTAAATAAACTAAATCCTAAACAATTAAGGTTTTCTACTAGAACTTTGAATTAGTTTTTCAACAATTTGATGGGAGAGTGCAATAGATTTGATTTGAATTGACAATATTTAAGTCTTTCAACAAAAAAAAGGTGTTATTTGGCACATAAATTTTGCAATTTATTTCTTGACAATCTTTATGTTTTTATGATTTCTATTTTTGACTTTATGATACCGTAAGCTTCATATCAAAGTTCTTTCTTATTTCTTTTTCAAGGTTGATAAATTGACAAAGATTAATATTTTGTTCGTAGCTGCAAAAATTCACAAAGCAAAAGAAAAGAAAGGAAGTTTGAAAAATAAAAAAGGAAACAAATGATAGAGAAGGAAATTATAGAGATATACTGTTGGTGTCATCATTGTGTCAGTTTTTTTCGCATTTAGCCTTTTTTTTAATATATATAAATAATAGTACTCCTAATATTTGGAATATGCATATATTAGAGGTTTGAAAATATCTTTTAGCTTTACAATTGAAAAAATAAATTAATCAACAAACAAGAAATTTATTTTACGATTGTTATTTACAAATATATTAATTATCCATTTTAAGTTAAAAGATAGTTGGTTGAACTTTGAAAAATAATTGTTTGAAGATAAAGTTGAAATTGGAAAAAAGATAAAATCATGTTTGACATGAATTTTATTTGGAGATGAAGTTAAACTTTTATGACTGAAACATTACTTCAGTCGTGATTCTCAAAAAAAAAATTAGCTTAAAAATTTACCATTTAAAAGTGAATAATGGATAAATATGAAAAACAAACATTATTATTTGCGAATAATGTGTGTCCGAATATTCTTATAACTCAAACAAAAATTCTTATAGGATGCATATTATAAAAATTCTACATCTTGTGAAATTCCAATCTTGAAAATCATCATATTATACGTTAATTCAATAATGTGACATGAACCTGACAATTGACAAGAATCTCCCTTGGCTTTGATGAAGTAGCCAATGGTTCAATTGTCAATTTATCAAGTTGTTCTTGCCAAGAAATGTGGCTATCTCAACATGAATGTCTTATTTATTTCACGTTTTAAATGAAAATATGTGCAGCATATATGCATATGGAACATGTCAGCCCATTATCAAATAGGCCCTCAATTGTTGGGCAAAGGCCCACCACTCACTACTCATAAACTTACCGCGCATGCCTTAAACAAACATTTAAGTTTGGATGGGTTACAGTCTACCCCTTAGGTTTGACCATTTCTAATTCAAGAATGTCTCTAATTTTAGTGAACATTTAAGTTATGGAACTTGATGGAATGCTAAAATTATTGTTTTCTTCCATGTACCGCTATTCAGTCTGTATATAAAATGCAATGATCTAATCAACTAAGAAAGAAGCGCATAAATGCTCCCCTAATCAATCCAATTTTTTTCGCTTTATCTTAATTAATTATTCTGATTTGATCTAAATATTCGATAAGAATAAAGTTTTACTTCTAATTCAGGCTAGGGGTATCTTGCAATAACTTAGCTCCAACTTATTTTACTTAAATTTAAAATGGTAAGAAGAAAAGGAAAAATCTTTTGCAACATTAGAACGTGATTGGGCTCGATTATTATCCATAACTAAGTTTGAACGTTGAGTATTGACAAGAAGCTTCAGATATGGCGGTTACAGGAGAAGAGATATGAGAAGAAGAAGAAATGAGAAGAAGCAGAAGCAATCAGTTACTTCATTATGCTGTGAAAAATACTCACTGTTACATTGAGCTAAGACTAAGCTATTATTTATACACTTGTTAGTTGTAACTAACCCAACTATTAACTATAGTATAGTGTAAAACTAACTACTCTACTAACTGTAGTTTAGTTAAATAGGTGGAGTCTGCATCTCTCAATACTCCCCCTCAAGCTGAGGAATGAAATACATTATTCATTCCCAGCTTGCTTAGTAAGTATTCATGCTGTGGTTTGCACAAGGCCTTTGTCAGCACATCTGCTAATTGTTCTGTTGTACCCATATGCTGAGTTTGAATAAGCCTTTGTACTAGTTTTTCCCTTACAAAATGACAGTCAATATCTATGTGTTTAGTTCATTCATGAAATATAGGATGTGCAGCAATTTGGATTGCTGCCTTGCTGTCATAGTTTAGAGGCACAGGCAGAGAAATGTCCACTCCTAACTCTTTGAAAAGTCCAACCAACCACACAATTTCAGCTACTGTAGTTGTCATGCTTCTGAACTCTACTTCAGCTGAGCTTCTAGATACTGTCCCTTGTTTCTTTGACTTCCAAGAAATCAGTGCATCTCCAAATTTAACCACATACCCTGTGATTGACCTCCTAGACTCAACATAAGCTCCCCAATCTGGATCACAATAGGCTATTAGGTTGTTACACCTTCCTGTTGGCATGAACAGACCAAGTCCAGGTGTAGACTTGATATATCTCACTACTCTCTTTGCAGCTTCCATGTGAGAGGTCTTAGGTGCATGCATATACTGACTGAGTACTTGAACAACAAAGGCTATATCTGGTCTTGTCATTTTTAGGTACAGGAGCCTCCCAACTAGTCTTTGATAATTTCCCTTCTCTTCAAGTTGCACATCTTCAGAGTCACTGTTTTTCACTATTTGATCAAACTCAACAGAGGTAAGTTTTTGATTGAACTCAAGAGGTGTATAGGCTGGTTTTCCTCCTGCTAAGCCAAGTTCAGACACCAATTCTAGGGCATATTTCGTTTGATACATTAAGATACCCTTTTGAGACCTTGAGAACTCAATGCCAAGGAAATACTTTAGCTTCCCTAGATCCTTCATCTTAAACTTCTCCTACAAATCTTTTCTGACTTGCTGAATAAGAAGCAAGTTGCTACCAGTTACCAACAAATCATCCACATAGACTAGGATGACTACAAGATCAGCTCCTATTCTTTAGGTGAAGAGGGAATACTCATAGTGGCTTTGAGTAAAATCCATGTCTAGGAGTGCCTCTGTTAGCTTAAGATTCCACTGCCTAGCTGCTTGCTTCAAACCATACAAAAACTTATGTAGTTTACAAACCTTTTGAGTCTCCCTCTAGCTCGAAAAGCCATCAGGAACTTGCATATAGACCTTTTCTTGAAGGTCACCCTGCAGGAAAGCATTATGAACATCCATCTGAAAAATGTACCAACCAGATGCAGCAGCTAGTGCAACCACAGCCCTTACTGTGACCATCTTGGCTACGGGGGAGAATGTCTCTGTATAGTCCAGGCCTTCTTGTTGACTGTAACCTTTGGCTACTAGTCTAGCCTTATATCTTTTCACCTCACCATTAGACTTGTACTTAACCTTGAAAACCCACTTACACCCTATAGGAACCTTCCCTTGAGGCAAATCAACCAAGGACCAGGTGTTATTGTCTTGTAATGCTGAAATCTCAGCCTGCATAGCTTTAACCCACTTAGGATCAGCACTTGCTTCTTTGAATGTGCTGGGTTCAACAATAGCTGAATATACAGCAAGAGAAGCCCTGTACTCTGAAGAGAGTTGATTGTAAGAGACATGTTGTGATACAAGATAGGGACAAGTGGATTTTATGGGTTGAACTACATAATCATAGGAGGTTTTGAAGGCCTAGAGGATCTTCTGAGACCTTCATGAGAGACTGAGGGTGCAGGACGAGGAGTAAAAGGAGTTGGTTCAGAATATTCATCATAGATAGGACTAGAGAGATTAGACTGGTGTTGGGCATCAGAAACAGGTAAATTTGTAGGATGGCTAGTACTCTTTTCAATTGATGCATCTGTGAACTCCAGTATAGGAAACAAGGGAGAAGTTCCAACTTGCATGTGTTTAAAAGGAAATATGTCTTCTTTGAAAATAGAATCTGTACTAACAAAGAAGCCCTTAGAATGTAAATCATAGAGGGTATAGTCCTTTTGAGAAGATGAATAACCCATGTGAACTGCTGGAACTTCCCTAGGACTGAACTTATCCCCTTTCTGCACTTTTGTGGCATAGCATAAGCTACCAAACACTCTAAGATGTTGTAGAGAAGGTATCTTCTGAAATAGTGCTTCAAAAGGAGACTTTCCTTGAAGAAGACCAGTGGGTAATCTTTTCAGTAGATATACTGCTGTAGACACACACTCACCCCAAAATATCAAGGGTATAAAGGCCTGAAACTTGAGAGCTCTAGCCATATCTAATATAGTTCTATGCCTTCTCTCCACCACCCCATTTTGTTGGGGTGTATAGACACAAGAACTTTGATGAAGTATTCCCAGACTTTGCAATAGATGCTGGACTTGATCATTCACAAATTCAGTGCCATTGTTAGTTCTGAGGCACTTGACTGCAGTTCTAAACTGATTTGAAACCATTGTAAGGAAGTTCTTTAAAGCTATAATTGTGTCTGCCTTAGTAGTTAGAAGAAATATCCAAATATATTTAGAGAAATCATCCACCAAGTTTAAAAAATATCTCTTGCCATCATGAGTTGGTAATCCATATGGACCCCAAACATCTGCATGAACAAGATCAAACATAGAAGTAGAGCAAGAGGTTCTAAGAGGAAAAGGTAGCCTTGATTGCTTTGCAATAGGACATACAGTACAATGCTGATGTTCAGTTGTAAGCAAACCTTGAAGGTTGTGTAATTTTTGCAGTACTTTTAAAGGAGCATGTCCTAACCTTCTATGCCACAAAGAGAAATCATTACATGAACTTGTATTATTCTGACTACCAGTCTTATTTGTACTAACAATAGTATTTACACTTGGTGATATATGTGATCAGGAGTTTGTCTATCTGCAGCCTTGAGGATGTAGAGTCCAAGTTCTTCTCTACCAATCCCAGTACCTTCCCACTGAAGAGTTCCTGAAAGACACAAAAGTCATGAAAGAATGCCACCAAACACCTTAGCTCTTTTGTAATCTTAGACACTGAAAGTAAGTTATACTTGAAATCTGAAATGTGAAGTATATTCTGAATTTTCTTCTTTCTGAAGAAAGAATAAATTCCAGTGTGTGTAATAGAAGCTTGTTCTCCAGTAGGCAATTGGACTTTATTCTTATCCTTCTCTGATACTTCTTCATAAGAGTCCAACAGCTTTAGACTATGCACCATGTGATTAGATGCTCCTGTGTCTACTATCCAATTATGATCCACCAAAGTAGACATAAAAGCATGTAGTATACATGTTGTCCCTGTAGTAGCTGAGTTGGCAACAGGTTCAATATCTTTGCCCTTGTTCAGCATCTGTAGAATTTGCTGATATTGCTCTGGAGTAAAGAACTGAGCTGGAGCAGGACAGTTCAGTTGATTGCCTTGTGTCTCTGAAGGCAGATTTCCACAATTGTTCTCCATATGATTCAGATTGCTGGTCACATTGTTTGCTTGAGCATTGAAAGTTCCTCCTCTTCTCTTATTCTTGAAATCACTAGGATATCCATGAAGCTTGAAACAGTTTTCCTTTGTATGACCTTTACACTTACAATAGTCACATTGAACTGTTGACTTGTTGAAGAAATTCTTAGGTTTGTAACCTCCAGAGTAGCCAGTATTGGTGTAACCTCCAGAATTATTATATCCTCCATCATGACCACCATTATAAGCTCTATTACTCATCATTGCAGAAGCTTCATTGTTATCATTAGCACTATTCACACCTTTTCCAGTAATCTTTTTACTTTCTACATTGATTATCATGGCATAAGCTTGGTTCAGATTAGGTAATGGTCTAGTCATAAGCATCTGATTTTTTGCATTCTCATAGGAGTCATTGAGACCTGTCAGAAACTGATAAAGTTTTTGAAGCTGATAGTGTTCTACATGTTTCTTTGATTTAGGACAACCACATGAAGGTGGTGGAGTAAGTGTTACGTACTCATCCCACAGTTCTCTCAAACGAGAGAAATACACAGACATAGAGGATACTCCTTGTGTCAAAGTAGCAATTTCTTTATGTAGATAAGCAGCTCTAGATGCATTTACTTTGTCAAACCGTTCCCTTAGATCTTCCCAAACAGTATAAGCATCACAAGCATAGATGACAGTGCTAATCAAATTTGGTGCTACAGTATTCATAATCCATGCCAACACTATTGCATTACACCTGTCCCATAGATCATGAAGGCTAACATCATAACATCATAGTTACTTTTTTGCAGGTGCCTAAGACAAAACCTAATTTGTTTTTACCATGCAATACAATTTTCAAAGATCTACTCCAAATAGAGTAGTTTTCACAACCTTGTAGCTGAATAGAGATGAGGACAGAACCTTGTGTATCAGATGGATGGATATGAGAGGATGATGATGATCGACTTGATCAACTAAATATGCGATGGTCTGGTTATCAGCAACTTCTTCATTGGCCGGCATTGTTGCAGACATTGAAGAAAAATATCTGAGAATTCTGAGATTGAATAGAAATGCAGCTATTGACAGTCAATTGAGACTCAATCGAACAAATCTCCAAACCCTAGCTTGCAAGGAGTGAGATCCAGATTGAGAATTGGCTCAATTGATCAGATCTACTTAGGAAATTGACTCAATTAGATCCGTCACAGCTGAGCTAACACTCGTTTAACCGAGCTCTGATACCATGACAAGAAGCTTCAGCTATGGCAGTTACAGGAGAAGAGATATGAGAAGAAGAAGAAATGAAAAGAAGCAGAAGCAATCAGTTACTTCATTATGCTGAGAAAAATATTCGCTGTTACATTGAGCTAAGACTAAGCTACTACTTATACACTTGTTAGTTGTAACTAACCCAACTACTAGCTATAGTATAGTGTAAAACTAACTACTCTACTAACTGTAGTTTAGTTAAATTGGGGCCTGCATCTCTCAACAAGTATAAATACAATATCAAGCAAAGTCGTTGAAAGGAGAAGTTTAGAGTACGTTTGATGTTTCTTTAATTAATAACCATCTAGATTCTATGATTTGGCATAGGGTTACTGTTTCATCCATCAATCTCTTTAAGTTGTTGCACGTCAATTTTTTTTACCTAAAACAATTACAATTCCATGCACTAGCCAGCCAGGTGCGGCCCTTCTATAAAGCAAGTAAAGCAACCGCTGTAGGCCCCATATTTGGGGAGGGGGGCATTTTTTATTATACCTAATAGACTCTGTATAAGGTTTAAAAAAAAGAGTTCTGTAAAATGAAAAAGTTTGATTTTTTTCTTTAACAAATATAGGGAAGAAGGATTTGCAACTGCTGTGATTTCTACCAAGGAAATTGCACTTGAAATGTATATCGAACCCGAATTTCGTAAGAAACGTGTGATACATATGAAGTAACAATTTAATGCGAATGTTGATAATAAAATCTCAAAATCTTTCGAAGAATCCTTTAGAGTTGATTATTTTTATACATAATATACAAGGCTATTTTTTTACTTCAAAATAGATTTGAACAATTCGAAGTATATGAAAATATTTTTGGTTTTCTATTTGGCAGTAAAAACTAAGATCGCTAGATGTTGGAAATTTGAAAATATATTACCTTAATCTTGATTTTTCCTTAAAGCATAATAATCAATTCGATATTGATGGCTTAGATTTATTTTCTGAATTAAAAGTATTAAGAAAAATAGTACAATTAGAAGATAGCAGTTTAAATGATACACTTAATCAAATAAAAAGATTTAATTCTTTTTCAAATGCCTAAATTGCTTATGAAATAATGTTCATAACTCATGTTACCGTTGCTTCAGCGGAAAGAAGTTTTCAAAATTAAAATTGATAAAATCTTATCTAAGAACAACAATGTCACAAGAAAGGCTAAATGGATTAGTTATATTACCAATTGGGAAATACTTATTA